ATTAGCTCGTCCATATCTATTTTGTGAAGTTTCCTCTGATTCTACAGCTCTTTTCTGGCATGATAATTGGACGGGTCTTGGTCCGTTAATCGACATCATTGGAGATAATGGGTCCTGAGTCATCGGTTTTCTATCTCTCGCTTTGGTTAAGGATTGCTGCAATGATTCAGGCTGGTTGATTTCTCGACGTCAACATCCCTTACTGGTCCTCCTCAGAGCTTGCCTACCTAGTGCTCCACCACAACTTAACCCGCTTCTTCAAGACTCGTTCCTTTGGAAAAATTCTGTGGGGGAACCTCCGGGGATTTTCTCGACCAAGAAGACCTAGATTTCACTTAATCCGACAGCCCCGACACCGCCTGCTTCTTGGCTTAAGGCTGTTTGGTTTAAACAGAGAATCCCTAAGCATACTTTCCTTTCTTGGGTTGTGGCATGAGGTCGATTAACTACCAGGGACATGCTGAGAAGTTGGGGTATGAATGTCCCAAGCGATTGTCTGTTTGGCACTGCCTCAGAAACAATAGGTCATCTCTTCTTTGATTGTTCATTTTCTTCGGAAGTTTGGTTTGCCTTCTTCAGGTTCTCGGGTCTTACGGTACCCTCCTTGTTACACACGGTTTTCCAGTGGGTTTTATCGCCATCTCACAGCCCAAGACTCAATATCATCATCAAATTAATCTTCCAAGCTGTGTTGTATTTCTTATGGAAAGAGAAGAATTCAAGACTTCACAACTCGGTCCCTCAGTACGCCCAATCAATTGTTAAGGACATTCAACAGCTTATTCGGGCTAAGTTGTCGGGTCTTGATAGTGATCTTTATCGATCACAAGCTCCCTCTGTTCCAGGGACATCCGTAGAGAGTTATCTTTTCACCTGGTTTCACTATATTCAAGTGTGACTGCTCTAAACTTGCCGAGTTTTGCTTCATCAAAATTGCTTTTTATATATCCTTTCTTTGCTCAAACAATTCATCTCTTCTTGCACTGATCAATTGTAATATTTCAAATTGTCTCCTTTTTGGGGAAAGGAAAAGAGAATGAATAAAAAAGAAAGTTAAGAAAAAAAAAAAAGAAGTTTAGCAAAAAAAAAAAA